AACACGAGTACTTAGTTACACGAATAAACACATGGTTCATTGCCGTCGTATTGTGCGTGTAGCTCATCGCGTGAGGCCTCGTCCACAGGGGGGCCGCTGTTGTCTCTGAATCTGTGGGATCGGCGGCCGTGAAGAAGCTTTTCCTGCACAAACCAGCCGATTCTGTTGGGAGACGCGAGACGAGCGTCTCACAAACGCATGAAGCGCTGAATGTCGCGCAGCGATTGTGTGTTTTTGTGTCGCTGCGGGCGGCGAGTCCCACGACGAACGCTCTTCTAGTCCAATTAGCTCCTCTTGGTCCCTCCCGGGCCCTCTGAGGAGCACGTATCTAAAACAACAACCCCCCGTCCCCTCCGAGGGGCAGATTGAAGACAAAATGAATACAAGTTTGTTGTGATCGCCTTTAAACGTTGAAGCCTCGGGTTTAAATACGCCACATTTTAGTTGCTAAATAGAGGAAGAGGCTAAAACGTGAGCGCCTTCTTCAAGAGAGAAGCGACACATATCGACCCGTGTGTGTGTCTGTGTGCCCTGCAGAGGGCTCGTGTGCATGCAGATTGTGTGTGTGTGTGTGTGTGTGTGTGTGTATGTGTGCCCTGCAGAGGGCTTGTGTGCATGCAGATTGTGTGTGTGTGCCCTGCAGAGGGCTCGTGTGCATGCAGATTGTGTGTGTGTGTGCCCTGCAGAGGGCTCGTGTGCATGCAGATTGTGTGTGTGTGTCTGTGCCTTGCAGAGGGCTTGTGTGCATGCAGATTGTGTGTGTGTGTGTGTGTGTGTCTGTGCCCTGCAGAGGGCTTGTATGCATGCAGGTTGTGTGCGTGTGTGTGTGTGTCTGTGCCCTGCAGTGGGCTTGTGTGCATGCGGATTGTGTGCGTGTGTGTGTCTGTGCCCTGCAGTGGGCTTGTGTGCATGCAGATTGTGTGTGTGTGTGCTTGTGTGTGTGTCTGTGCCCTGCAGTGGGCTTGTGTGCATGCAGATTGTGTGTGTGTGTCTGTGCCCTGCAGAGGGATTGTGTGCATGCAGATTGTGTGTGTGTGTCTGTGCCCTGCAGAGGGATTGTGTGCATGCAGATTGCGTATGTGTGTGTGTGTCTGTGTGCGCTGGGCTTGTGCACATTGTGTACCTCGCTGGATTTTAAACTTTTAGTTGGACATTTCCCCCCGAAGACACAAGCACAGCGAAACAAAGAGTGGAGAAAAGACGCAGAGGACGCTGAATACAAAGACAGACACGCGGCGGTCGATAAGCGGCCTGCGGCTCGCCGGCGAGGATCACCGGACGCCACGTTGAGCCCTCTTCAGCCTCGACGTGGGACTCGGCTAAATGTCAGCCGGCTGGCGCTTTGTGGACGGGAATCAGGCGCCATTGTCTGTGTTGTTTGGGACGGCTGCTGTTCATGTAGTCTTTTTTTTGAGCAAAATGGGAGAGGGCAAGACGGGGGGAGGAAAGTGTGGGGGGGGGGCTAAGCGTTTAATCTCCTGCGGCGCGAAAACACAAACCGCCTTGTAATCGTCCGACCTTGACACCGGCAGCAAGGTCGCGAGGGAGCCGGCGAGCTTCGCGTTTCCCACGGACGCTTCGCCCAGACGCAAAGGAGCATTATTGGGATGGACGGAGAGGGATATCGAGTCCGTCTCCCTCCCTCCTCCACCCGCCAGCACCTCCTCCTCCTGCTCCTGCTGCTCCAGCACATCTGGGACTGATGAGGAAGTCAGCAATGGTCTGAAGTTAAACATCATAGAGGGAACTCTGCTAATTACAAGACTTTATTTTGTATCCAAGCGAATTTGTTTAGTTCTCAGAGAGGATGATTCGCTCCAGAGGCTGCGTGGCCGGGTGAATGCCTCATTGCTCAGGAAGAAAACAAAGAGAACCAAACATTTAACATGGGAATAACATTTAAATGGAGAGAAAAATATGAATTCTTTTGCCTGCTTTCAAAACTAAACAGAAATAGCGAACAATGAGCTAATTGTTTCTCTTAGTATCTGTATGTTGGGATTCACACACTGAGTGCGCTCATGTATTAATGCTGTGCGTGTGTGTGTGTGTGTGTTTGGCTCTGTGCGTCGGCCCTTGTGTCAGCTTCATGTAATTAAGGTCCTTTGTCCTCACGTCGCCTCCAGGCTTGAATATGCTGTGAGTGGAGATATGATTCTGCAGGCCCATTTAATGTCTGTTTACCCCTGTTGGATTATAATGAACTGTGCTCTGTGAACAAAGCCTCCTCAGCATCTTATCAACACAAAGTTCCTTCTGGATGTGCATCCATCTCTCGTAGCGGTTAAACAGCCTTCACAATGTCCCATAACACAGATGTAATGTTACACACCTGGACTTTAGATTCAGTAGTGTGCCTTTATTTATTTATCTGTACGAATTATGATTGTACTTTCCCCGTTTTATGTTGCTGTTTTCCCTCCGTCTGACGTTGAGTTAATTCGCGCAGTGCGTCTGGTTTCTCCTTTTATATTCACCCTGGTTTCCATGGCAAATAGCACAGCTTGTTAACATCAAAGGTAGAAAAGAAAAAAGGCAGAACCAGTGCTTGAGATCTCACAAGATGAAACAGTGCTAAAAAACCCAACGGGGTCATTGAAGGGTGAAGCTTTGCTTTTACTCCAAAACTTTGTATGTGATGTTATAACGGTACTTTTTATGTTGCTGCCGTCCTTTAAGCAATTCAACTGTGCAGACCGGCGTTAACCCCCGATTCTCAAAGGTCACTGCTGCAGATCCTTGAACCTGCATTCTCTGTAGTGACCAGCAGGGGGCGACTCCTCTGCTCCCATAGACGTCTATGAGGAAATGACTCTACTTCTCTGTAGTGACCAGCAGGGGGCGACTCCTCTGCTCCCATAGACGTCTATGAGGAAATGACTCTACTTCTCTGTAGTGACCAGCAGGGGGCGACTCCTCTGCTCCCATAGACGTCTATGAGGAAATGACTCTACTTCTCTGTAGTGACCAGCAGGGGGCGACTCCTCTGCTCCCATAGACGTCTATGAGGAAATGACTCTACTTCTCTGTAGTGACCAGCAGGGGGCGACTCCTCTGCTCCCATAGACGTCTATGAGGAAATGACTCTACTTCTCTGTAGTGACCAGCAGGGGGCGACTCCTCTGCTCCCATAGACGTCTATGAGGAAATGACTCTACTTCTCTGTAGTGACCAGCAGGGGGCGACTCCTCTGCTCCCATAGACGTCTATGAGGAAAAGACTCTACTTCTCTGTAGTGACCAGCAGGGGGCGACTCCTCTGCTCCCATAGACGTCTATGAGGAAATGACTCTACTTCTCTGTAGTGACCAGCAGGGGGCGACTGCTCTGCTCCCATAGACGTCTATGAGAAAATTACTCTACTTCCCTCTTGATTCATTCCCTCAGGGACACTGCAATGACCAAGTTTATGGTCTCAATCTTAAGATTAAATCAGACACTAGATGGGGCTAACTTGTGACT